AGATTAGAAGTCAATGAAGAGATAGGAAATGAAAGCTTATGCTTCTTTTTATATCAGGTCTTTGATTTTCTTTGTAACATTTTTCTTTTTTATTCCTTTTTGTAAGATTATGATTGAATACATTGCGTGCGATTTGCTGTTTTGCACTCAGAAGTTCCATACTCTTGAGAAAGAATCAGTTACAGTGCAATACATTGCAATGTGTTTTGAATGCAACATGCTGTGGATTCCGGAGGAGATATTTATCTATAGATTTATCCAGATAGAGGCTCTCACTTTTTAAATCCAAGATGCTACTATATTTTTATTGACATTTTATTTTAATACTGCAATATGTTTGCAAAAATAAACCATGCTCATTTTGACAACTTATACTAGATATCTATTCCAATATTCAACTTCTATGTGGCTAAAAGCAAAACAAATTACATCTGCAAAGAAGTGTTAGATTGTTGCAGTCGTTCAACCTTCAATTTCAGTGCAAGACTGAGCCATGTTAATCATTGCTCCTTTCTAATCAGGATATGCTGGTTTTTTTAATTTACAAATTGTTCGATTTTTGTTGGGTGATGTGCAGAGATGTGCACCAGAGATGTGCACAGCAATCATTTTTTAATTTTCTATGTGAATTTTTAAAATTTGTTTTGATGGATGTTATTCATTTGCTTCTCTTCCTGTGAGGAGTTGAACTCACTGTGCTATTGCAGGTTTTTCCGTGCTGTCCCAGTTCCCAGAAATTTGGGAGGTAACAATATTGGCTGCTGCGTTTGGCCCCCAAAATATACAGTCAATTCACTTTATAGAATATTCTGTGAAGCACTTTGAGACATCTCAAAGACGCGATAAGAAGCTGTATCAAATGCAGGGATTATTATTATCCTTCTGCCAGTTTCCAAATTTTGACTTTACTTGCACAACACTTTTATTCTTTCTGTACTTGTTATGATACAGCACTTTGAACCCACAAAGTCTAGGCAGATATGCAGTGTTGGAGGTCTGCTGCATTGTTGTGTCCTTTAGATAAGATTTTAAAACAAGGTCCTGTCTGCCTGTTCACGTGCAATGTTAAAGATTCCATGGCACTACCTAAAAAGTGAAAGGTGTTTCTCCTGGTGCCCTGACTAACAGTCCCCCAGATAAAACTGGTCATTCATTTCATGGCTGTTTGTGAGACATTGCTGTGTGCAAATTGGCTGCTGTGTTTCGCCTGCAAATTGCAGTCATTATACTTCACAGTATTATAATAATAACAATAATAATAATAATAATACGTGCGTATCAGCTTGGCTTTGTGGTTGCACTTCCACCTTTGAGTCAGAGGGTTGTGGGTTCAAGCCCCACACTGGGACTTGATCTCACATAATCTAATCTCCAACAATACACCAGATGCCCAACAATGCATTTGAATATTAGCCTATATGAGTTTAAAGCCTTCACGTTTTTTATTCAGAACTGGCAGCTTGTGTCCTCTCCTGCACCAGGCTTTGTGAACCCATCACTCCCACCCTCGCCCGGCTCCACTGGCAACCCATCCCCCAGAGGTATCTATTTCAAAATCCTTGTCCTCACTTTCAAAACCCTCCACGGCCTTGCTCCTCTCTACCTCTGTGACCTGCTAACCCCATACTGGCCTGTTTTAGGCAACTTTAGGTCAAGCTGAAACTTGTTTCGCAATAATTATCAACACACAGAGGCCCAAAAGTTCTCCTCGTCTTAGCTGTATGGCCTCATTTTGTCTTAAAATTGAAAATTGTGCAGAATTGTGGAAAATTTGTAAATTTACAGTTTTCCACAGTTCTTAAAATGAACCAGCTGGCAAATTAAGGCTGAATTTACGAGTTTTCTGCAATTCTGAACAATAATAATAATCCTTGAGCTTGATATCGAGCCTTACACTGTAAAGTGGAAGGACTGTGTATTTTGTGGACGAAATGTGGCAGCCATTTGAGCACAGCAGTGTCCCACAAACAGTTGTGGATTGAGTGACCAAATTATTATACAACACATGTATTATATATAACAATTTTAAATTTTAAGATGAAAATGGTCTTTAAAGCTAAAATGTGGTGGATTTTCAGGCCTTGGGTGCAATGATGTGGTTCTTTTGTGTTTTGGTATTGTACAACACTGACACCTTGTGGGCAATGGGAATAACTGAGAAGAGAATAAAATAAAATTGCAAGCACATAGCAGAATACAAACATAAAGAAATCTCTTAATTTCTGGAACAAGTCCAACAGGTGGCACCATATTCTTAACATGTTCTCTAATACAGAGTACTGTAGAGGGTGACATTTCAAGGTGTACTTAAGTTTTGATTACACTACTTCTGTAGTCAAGAGATTCAACAGAGCAGCCACTCCCAGGCTATCAACAATCCTTTTCTGGCTGAGAACAGAAAATTGATGTATGGAGACTTGAACCTCCATCTTTCATTGTTGTGTTGTGTGTATCAGTAGTCAAGTACTACACTCGTATTTTATTATTTGGTCAAGTGTAAGCCCTATTTTAAATTTTAGGAATGTAATTTTACTGTAATAAATGATCCCATCTTTGCCCATTCTGGTGAGAGCAGGTGGCCGGCACCCATACTACTGGCAGTCCGAGAGGAGGTGCGACAGACCACCCAGGTATGATTCTCTCTTGGGTTTCCTTCATGTGCACAAACAAAGCAAAGGCTCTGTTTGCCCTGTTTCCAAATCTGATGAGAAACTTATTGTGAGAAAGCAAACAATACTCTTAATGTTTGTTCTCAGTCAGTGCAATCCCTCTCCTGTTTGACATCAGTTTGCTTTCTGTGGTTACTTTCCAATCACCTGAGATTATTAGACTTTGTGCATTTAAAGGTGATACTTTATCAATGTGTACAGGTTACTAAACAAATAATACGAAGGATTCAACCATGTCACTACACAGTAAATCTTGTGAATCATAATAATCCTTGCATTTGATGCACCTTATTACGTTGAGATGTCTTCAAGCGTTTCACAGAATATACTGTAAATTGAATTGACTATATATTTTGTGGGTGAAACGCGGCAGCCAATTGCGCATAGCAGTGCCCCACAAACAGTCATGGATTGAGTGACCCAATTTTTTTTAAGGGATTATTACTCCCAGAAAAATGCCAATCGACTAACAACTGGGTTCCTACTTACTACAGGTAGTAAGTGGCGTGTGGAGTAAGAAACTTGCCTAACATTTCACCCTGCCGGTAATCGAACCCAGGTCCTCTCGCTTGCGAGGCGAGTGGTCTAACCACTAAGCTACAAGACTCCACAGTGCTTAGAGACTTCCTCCCAACATGAAAAGAGCCATATATCAAATGTATAGCAGCAACAAGTTGCAGTTACGCTTCACACAGGTTGCACCTCGGAGCGCTTAATAGCGGCGGCGCTTCACATAGGGATTACTATAAGGCTCAATATGTAACATGGTTATAACACTTGTTTGCAACACATGTCAGTGAGGGCTTAGTGATGGGGATATGTGCACACAAACACACATGTCAATGAGGCTGAAAGATAGGGATATGTGCGCACACGCACACACACACACACACACACACACACGTGATTGAGGGCTGAGTGATAGGGATGTGTGCACACACACACAGACACTCAGTGAGGGCTGAGTGATTGAGATGTGCACACACACACACATCAGTGAGGCTGAGTGATGGGGATATGCGCACACACACACACACACACACACACACACACACGTGAGTGAGTGAGGCTGAGTGATGGGGATGTGCTCACACACACACATATGCAAGTGAGGCTGAGTGCTGGGGATATGTGCACACATACACAGGTCAGTGAGGCTGAGTGCTGGGGACATGTGCACACATACACAGGTCAGTGAGGCTGAGTGATGGGGATATGTGCACACAAACACACATGTCAATGAGGCTGAGAGATGGGGATATGTGCGCACACGCACACACACACACACACACACACGTGATTGAGGGCTGAGTGATGGGGATATGTGCACACACACACGTCAGTGAGGCTGAGTGATGGGGATATGTACACACACACACACACACACACACACACACACACACACACACACACACACACACACACACGTCAGTGAGGCTGAGTGATGGGGATGTGCTCACACACACACATATGCCAGTGAGGCTGAGTGCTGGGGATATGTGTACACACACACACATGTCAGTGAGGCTGAGTGATGGGGATGTGCACACACACACACACACACACACACACACACACACGTCAGTGAGGCTGAGTGATGGGGATGTGCACACACACACACACACACATGTCAGTGAGGCTGAGTGATGGGGATGTGCACACACACACACACATGTGAGTGAGGCTCTGTGATGGGGATGTGCACACACACACACACATGTGAGTGAGGCTCTGTGATGGGGATGTGCACACACACACATGTCAGTGAGGGCTGAGTGATGGGGATGTGCACACACACACACACACACACACACACACGTCAGTGAGGCTGAGTGATGGGGATGTGCACACACACACACACGTCAGTGAGGCTGAGTGATGGGGATGTGCACACACACACACGTCAGTGAGGCTGAGTGATGGGGATGTGCACACACACACACACATGTGAGTGAGGCTCAGTGATGGGGATGTGCACACACACACACACATGTGAGTGAGGCTCAGTGATGGGGATGTGCACACACACACATGTCAGTGAGGCTCAGTGATGGGGATGTGCACACACACACACACACACATGTCAGTGAGGCTGAGTGATGGGGATGTGCACACACACACACACACGTGAGTGAGGCTCAGTGATGGGGATGTGCACACACACACACACATGTCAGTGAGGCTCAGTGATGGGGATGTGCTCACACACACACACACACACACGGGTGTGACTCGTGCAGTTCCCAAATCATATGCACGGTTCACGTTACCAGAGGGGAGGGAATAACTCGCGCGGTCGGTCAGCAATTGTTCACAGACGCCCGCCCGCCCCTCACCAACCGCGACCGCCACAGCCCTTCACTGCACAGAGCGCGCGGCCCGACTCCGGGGCAGTAATGTTCACCACCACCGGCTCCACCGGTCTCTGTGAGTACCCACTCCCCCTCCTCCCCGGGCCCCAGGCCCCCACCCCCCGGCCTCCCGCCCCCCTCCCCGGGCCCCAGGCCCCCACCCCCCGGCCTCCCGCCCCCCTCCCCGGGCCCCAGGCCCCCACCCCCCGGCCTCCCGCCCCCCTCCCCGGCCCCCAGGCCCCCACCCCCGGCCTCCCGCCCCCACCCCCGGCCCCCAGGCCCCCACCGGTCTCTGTGAGTACCCACTCCCCCTCCTCCCCGGCCCCCAGGCCCTCCCCGGGCCTGTGTCTGTGCCCGGACACTCACACTGAGCCCACTCACACTCACACACTCACACTCACACTGAGCCCACTCACACTGAGCCCACTCACACTCACACACTCACACTCACACACTCACACTCACACTGAGCCCACTCACACTCACACACTCACACTCACACACTCACACACTACACACTCACACTGAGCCCACTCACACTCACACACTCACACACTCACACTCACACTGAGCCCACTCACACTCACACACTCACACTCACACACTCACACACTACACACTCACACTGAGCCCACTCACACTCACACACTCACACTCACACACTCACACACTACACACTCACACTGAGCCCAACTCACACTCACACACTACACACTCACACTGAGCCCACTCACACTCACACACTCACACTGAGCCCACTCACACTCACACACTACACACTCACACTGAGCCCACTCACACTCACACACTCACACTGAGCCCACTCACACTCACACACTCACTCACTCACACTCACACACTCACTCACTCACACTCACACTGAGCCCGACTCACACTCACACTGAGCCCACTCACACTCACACACTCACTCACTCACACTCACACACTCACTCACTCACACTCACACTGAGCCCGACTCACACTCACACTGAGCCCACTCACACTCACACACTCACTCACACTCACACACTCACTCACTCACACTCACACTGAGCCCGACTCACACTCACACTGAGCCCACTCACACTCACACACTCACTCACTCACACTCACACACTCACTCACTCACACTCACACTGAGCCCAACTCACACTCACACACTCACACTGAGCCCACTCACACTCACACACTCACTCACTCACACACTCACTCACTCACACTCACACTGAGCCCAACTCACACTCACACACTACACACTCACACTGAGCCCACTCACACTCACACACTCACACTGAGCCCACTCACACTCACACACTACACACTCACACTGAGCCCACTCACACTCACACACTCACACTGAGCCCACTCACACTCACACACTCACTCACTCACACTCACACACTCACTCACTCACACTCACACTGAGCCCGACTCACACTCACACTGAGCCCACTCACACTCACACACTCACTCACTCACACTCACACACTCACTCACACTCACACTGAGCCCAACTCACACTCACACACTCACACTGAGCCCACTCACACTCACACACTCACTCACTCACACACTCACTCACTCACACTCACACTGAGCCCAACTCACACTCACACACTACACACTCACACTGAGCCCACTCACACTCACACACTCACACTGAGCCCACTCACACTCACACACTACACACTCACACTGAGCCCACTCACACTCACACACTCACACTGAGCCCACTCACACTCACACACTCACTCACACTCACACACTCACTCACTCACACTCACACTGAGCCCGACTCACACTCACACACTCACACTGAGCCCACTCACACTCACACACTCACTCACTCACACTCACACACTCACTCACACTCACACTGAGCCCGACTCACACTCACACACTCACACTGAGCCCACTCACACTCACACACTCACTCACTCACACTCACACACTCACTCACTCACACTCACACTGAGCCTGACTCACACTCACACACTCACACTGAGCCCACTCACACTCACACACTCACTCACTCACACTCACACACTCACTCACTCACACTCACACTGAGCCCGACTCACACTCACACACTCACACTGAGCCCACTCACACTCACACACTCACACTGAGCCCACTCACACTCACACACTCACTCACACTCACACACTCACTCACTCACTCACACTCACACTGAGCCCGACTCACACTCACACACTCACACTGAGCCCACTCACACTCACACACTCACTCAATCACACTCACACACTCACTCACTCACACTCACACTGAGCCCGACTCACACTCACACACTCACACTGAGCCCACTCACACTCACACACTCACTCACTCACACTCACACACTCACTCACACTCACACTGAGCCCGACTCACACTCACACACTCACACTGAGCCCACTCACACTCACACACTCACACTGAGCCCACTCACACTCACACACTCACTCACTCACACACTCACTCACACTCACACTGAGCCCAACTCACACTCACACACTCACACTGAGCCCACTCACACTCACACACTCACACTCACACACTCACTCACTCACACTGAGCCCGGCTCACACTCACTCACTCACACTGAGCCCAGCTCACACTCACACACTCACTCACTCACACTGAGCCCACTCACACTCACACACTCACTCACACACTCACTCACTCACACTCACACTGAGCCCACTCACACTCACACACTCACTCACTCACACTGAGCCCGGCTCACACTCACTCACTCACTCACTCACTCACTCACTCACACTGAGCCCGACTCACACTCACTCACTCACACTGAGCCCACTCACACTCACACACTCACACTGAGCCCACTCACACTCACACTCACACTCACACACTACACACTGAGCCCACTCACACTCACACACTCACTCACTCACACTGAGCCCGACTCACACTCACTCACTCACACTGAGCCCGGCTCACACTCACTCACTCACTCACTCACTCACTCACTCACTCACTCACTCACACTGAGCCCACTCACACTCACACACTCACACTCACACACTCACTCACTCACACTGAGCCCGGCTCACACTCACTCACTCACACTGAGCCCAGCTCACACTCACACACTCACTCACTCACACTGAGCCCACTCACACTCACACACTCACTCACACACTCACTCACTCACACTCACACTGAGCCCACTCACACTCACACACTCACTCACTCACACTGAGCCCGGCTCACACTCACTCACTCACTCACTCACTCACTCACACTGAGCCCGACTCACACTCACTCACTCACACTGAGCCCGGCTCACACTCACTCACTCACACTGAGCCCACTCACACTCACACACTCACTCACTCACACTGAGCCCACTCACACACTCACTCACACACTCACTCACTCACACTGAGCCCACTCACACTCACACACTCACTCACTCACACTGAGCCCGACTCACACTCACTCACTCACACTGAGCCCGGCTCACACTCACTCACTCACTCACTCACTCACTCACTCACTCACTCACTCACTCACTCACTCACTCACTCACTCACTCACTCACCCACCCACACTGAGCCCGGCTCACACTCACTCACACTGAGCCCAGCTCACACTCACTCACACTGAGCCCGGCTCACACTCACTCACTCACTCACTCACTCACTCACTCACTCACACTGAGCCCGGCTCACACTCACTCACTCACACTGAGCCCGGCTCACACTCACTCACTCACACTGAGCCCAGCTCACACTCACACTAAGCCCGGCTCACACTCACACTGAGCCCGACTCTCACTCACACTGAGCCCGGCTCACACTCACTCACTCACTCACTCACTCACTCACTCACTCACTCACTCACTCACTCACTCACTCACTCACTCACTCACTCACTCACTCACTCACTCACTCACACTCACTCACTCACACTGAGCCCGGCTCACACTCACTCACTCACTCACTCACTCACACTGAGCCCGGCTCACACTCACTCACTCACACTGAGCCCGGCTCACACTCACTCACTCACACTGAGCCTGGCTCACACTCACTCACACTGAGCCCGGCTCACACTCACTCACACTGAGCCCAGCTCACACTCACTCACTCACTCACTCACTCACTCACTCACTCACTCACTCACTCACTCACTCACTCACACTGAGCCCGGCTCACACTCACTCACTCACTCACTCACTCACTCACTCACTCACTCACTCACACTGAGCCCGGCTCACACTCACACGTAGCCCAGCTCACACTCACACACCCCCCCCCCTGAGCCCAGCTCATACACACACACACTTACACACTGAGCCCAGTCTCTCTCTCACACACACTCACACACTGAGCCCAGGCTCACACACACACACACAAGCACACACACTCACACACACCTTGAGTCCAGGCTCACACACACTCACACATACTGAGCGCAGGCTCTCTCTCACACACTCACAGTCACACAGACACACTCACATTCTGAGCACAGGCTCACGCACAGATACACACACACTCACAGACACACACCCTGAGTCCAGACCCACACACCAATACACATACACACACACACAAGCACAAACACTGAGCCCAAGCCCACACACTCATACACACACATCCTGAGCCCAGGCTTACACACAGACACTCTCTCACACACATACATACATACTAACACATATTCATACACACACATCCTGAGCCCAGGCTCACACACACAGATATATTCACACACTGAGCCCAGGCTGACGGCTTGTGGTAAAATAATGGGGGAGGATCGAGGGGATTGTTTTTATCAAAATAAATAATAATCTTTTAATACAGCATCTACATCATTGTGGATGTCTCAGAGCACTTCACAAAGTTTCTGTGAAATGTAGTGACTGTGTATTTTGGAGGTGAACCAGACTGTGCACAACATTGCATCTCACACAGCCATGAAGTGAGTGACCAGCTTTTCTGGAGACACCAAAAGCAACTCCCTCCTTCTCTCTTTGAAGCAGTGCAATTGGATAATAATAATAATAATTATTAGTCCCATGGGATCCTGAATTCCCCCACTGGTACAGAT